TGATGATGATGATGATGATGATGATGATGATGATGATGATGATGATGATGATGTTGATTTATTCCTATAACGTATCATTTCTATGCGTACACATTTTGATTCTCTGATATTTCTGAAATCGAGCAATGAAATTACACGAGAATAAACTAGAACCTAGATCTATATTCTTTTCGGCGATTTATTGCGTACGCGTCCTTGGCCGAAGTGAAGGGCTGGCGAGCGCTCTGGTGTGGTTTGCTCCTTTTTTCCTATCAAACATCTATCATCTTTATATATATATCATTATTTCTCCTCCTTCTTTATACTATGTTACTATCTGCTAGGCCTAGTATTACCTCTAACTTTTGGCTCTCACTTTTATGACTTAATCATGTTGCAAATTGTAAGTATCGTAAAACTCAATTTGATTAGCCAAAACACCCAGGACCTGTCTGAGCTTGGAATCAATAAAACAAAGGGTTGTAGTTGTTGTTTTGTTTTGTTTTATTGTCTTTTTGTTGTTGTTTTGTTGTTGTTGTTGTTGTTGTTGTTGTTTTATTTGCTTTATAATTTTCATTGTGCTGTTGGGGCTAGAGAGGTGACCAGAGTAAGCTTGATTTCTTGTATGAACTTTTCTGTTGACATCCACCCCCGTGCGCTCACATGACCTTATGCAGTTGCGAGCGCCGTAAAACCTTATTAAAACTAGCTAAAATAATTTTCATTCTCTAAAATTCTGATAGAAAGAGAAGCAATATTTACGTGGAGATGGGGGTGTCCAATCTGACGACACAGCAGTGGTTGAAGGGGCAGTCACCGTTGGTGGCACAGCGCTTCTTCCTCGAGCACACTCCTGCAGACGAGATCACGTGAACAGTCGTGCACTGTTCTCATTGGTCGAATAAAGGGAGAGTGGGAGGAGCTTCCAGATGGGAAGGTTTAAGAAGTCAGAATGAAAGGAGCGATTATTTTTTAATTATTTTTTTTTTCGTTTATAAATTCTTTGAAAACTACGCCCTGTCGTAAAAATAATATCAAATTTGGAACGAGCGCATCAAAATAAAGAAAGTGATTCACGGGTAACTCCTTTTCTTGTTAGAATTTGAAGAGCATAAGAAAGAAGTAGTATTAACCGAGGTTGCATCATGCGGTATTTTCTTCTAGTCACAAAGATGACAGATCACTGTAAAGTTTTAAGTGAACGTGTATAACAACGAGCTAAAGTTTGCATAAATTCTTTCAAACGTAACTTGCTGCGACAACGCACTGATTAGGCGTAGGACTAGTAAGTGGGTGGTTGGCGGGTGCTCTGGTGTGGTTTGCTCCTTCTTTCCTATCAAACATCTATCATCCTTATCTCTCATCCTTCTTTTTTAAGTTTGTTACTCTCTTGTAACACCTCTAATCTTCTGGCACTCATTTATTATGACCTTATGCAGTTGCGAGCGCCGTAAAACCTCTACTAAAACAAAAAGGACTACAGTAAACATTCATTCATTCTAAGTACGACAAAAAATAGC